ATATATAATATATATATATATATATATACACGTACATATAATAAATAGTATAATACAAATATCCGTATGTATTAGATAACAGAAAGGTATCTGCGATATGCGTACTGGAATGCAGATGATATAAACAAGCGTGCTTCGTATATAGATGAGATTTTCTGATCTTTTTACAACTGGTTTTTTAGTTGCAGAATCTAAGCAATAATAAAAGTTGCATAGTAAAAATGATAATCTATGTTGTCTAGAGTACATACATAACTTGTGTTGTATACACTAATAACGCCATAGAAGCCATATACAAGCGATTCTACTTGCACCAAACAGAAATACACAGGCCTGAATTTCCCCCAACCCTAAACCCTAAACCACTAACGGCAAACCCCTAAGTCTAAGCCCCAAAAGAGCAGTAGGCCCCCAGCGAAGGCTAGCAGCGGGGCAAGGCCAGATGATGTTGCGGAACTCCCGCAGAGACTAGGTCTAGGTTTTATGGTTTAGTGTTTAGCGTACAGTTGTTTGGATGATGGTCTAAAGTTGCAAGCACATAAATAAGGAACACGTTCGCCACCGAAACAACCCAGAAATGCTGCAAAGATTCACCCCATGTTTTACAGTTTAGGGTGTGCGGTTTAGGGCTTAGGGGTCTCACTGTAAGAGCGTCTTGTGTTGTGGGGCTGTTTAAAATCAGAGACAGGAAGGGCTTGGCAAGAGCAAGTTCGGCATCGGCAAAAGCGGGCCCCAGCAGCAGCACACGGGCATGCTCTTCTGCCTCTGCTGTAGGGCCCCCCAGCTTCTGCCGTCCCCACCACATAAGTGCTGCTGCACAAAGACATAATGCTGCCCTCCGTGTAGCTGTTACTTCTGCTGTTGCAAGTGCTCCTGCTCGTGTTGTTGATGACGGCGCTGCAGGTGCTGTTGCTGATACAGTTGCTGCAGCGGCGGCGCTGGCCTCTTGCTTTGTTCCTCCAGGAGCTGAAACTAAAGCCAGTGCTGCAACGGGGGCAGCAGTAGCACTCGCAGTTTCCTCTGCTAGGGGCCCCTTTACAGAGTGTGGTATACTTGGGGCCCCCTGGGGCCTCTCTTGCCTGGATGTCTGCTGCCCTTGGTCCTGCCGCCCATGCACACCTTCAGCATCAGACTGTTCCGAGATGCTTGATGGCAGCAAAGGATACAAAATAGGCAGCAGCAGCGGCAGAAATGGGCCCCAGACTTTTATTCCCGCTGCAACAATGCCAGTTTCTGCTGGCCCTGCAGTTGCAGCACAAGGTCCAGCAGCAGCAGAAGCAGCAGCAGCAAATGCAGAAGTGTCCGCCTTAAACCGGTTCAAGACAGCACCCAGAGCCTGCTCGCTTACGGCTTCATCAGTGGGGCCCAACGGTCCCCCTACCTCCCACAAACAACTCATTTTGTGCTGCTGCGCAGAACCTGCAAGGTCCCCCTCTGTTGTTGCGACCTCATCGTCAGTAGTTGCTGCTGTTGCTGCAGTTACTGCCTTCGTTGTCTCCGCTGTTGCTGATGTGACTGTTGTTGCTGCTGTTACTGCTGGTGCAGCAGCTGCTGCACCAGCAGCAGCTGCTGGTGCTGCTAAGCGGTGTAGGCGCCTGGAGGCATCAACTTCCCGAGTAGAAAACTGAGAAACCAATACCTTGAGGCTATTGCAGGGAGAAGAATAAGAATCATGCAGCTGCAGCAGCACCGGGAGGCAACAGCTAATAAGCTGCTTGGCAGGGAACCGCTGCAGCTGCTGGCTTGGCTGCTGCTGCCCTCGTTGTTGCTGCTGTTGTTGCAGCTGCAAGAGAGTCGCGAAGTCCCGGAAGTGAAGCAGCCCCAGTAGATCCTCCATTGTAAGGGACTGGGCAGCCCTAAACCCTAAGCCCTATCAGTGTAAGTCATGAACACCTTGGAGCGTCAACAGGAAAGAGGATTAAATTGCTGCTGTGTGCAGATGCACCTGCACCTGCAGCAGAAGCGGATGCTGCTGCTGCACAAACCGAAAAGCTAGCAATAGGATGGGAGTTGCTTCCGACTGGCGTTCGACATCGTGCATTCAGCTGAGGCATTCACTTGTAGCTGTTGCTGCTGCTGCAGGTACGCAGTGAAACGAAAGCAGGAAATCAGACCGAAAAAATGCAGAGGTGAAATTGCTTCCTAATTCTGGTATAAATTGGGTTAGAAACAAAAGTTTACAACTACGTGGGGCCCCCTGTTGAGCCGAAGGGGCCCCCCTGGGGGCACATCCAGGGGGGCCCGGTGATACCCTGGGGGCCCCCTAAGAAATTGACGCGGTTGAAAAAGTTACGTCGTTTTATTTTGCACGTGCTGATGTGCTTTTACAAAATAGTGAACTAGGCTTGAATTCTTATTTCCTTTCTGCGGTGAAAATCGACTGACGAAACCTCCAGTCTTCGGCTTTAGTCTCGGGGCCCTATTGGCAATTTTGAGACATAAACAACACACCCTAGATAATAAAATAATAAACCTTTCAACATTTGAGCTGTGCTTGGAACCTAGAGCTTAGGGTTTCGCGTCTAGGATATAGCTATGGTTGCTGCAGCAGCAGCAGAAGTGTGTCGTCGCTCCCCTGTTGTGCAAGGTGCAAGTACTGTATGTGGATGCCATGGGACGGCTATGAGGGCCCCACAGCAGTGACTGTCTCTGTCGCTTATTTCCTTTGCTCTCTTTGCGTTCGATGTTTGTTTATGCTCTCTCCTCATTTGCCCTTTGCTCTTGCGTTGACGTGTTTGTCGCTTTTCTGAGTCAAGAAGTCTAAACACTAAGCACTACACACTAAAGAGAGAAAGAGTACAAAAAGAGAAGAATTGATTAAGAGTACAAAGAGAGAATCGGAGGGCTAGAGCAAGCAAAGGAAGCCCTGAAGAGAGGAGGATCGCTTTCTGCCTTCTTCTTTTGTGAATTACACTTATAATATAAAATATAAATGCAACGCATTAGACACGACAAACAGAAAGTCGAAAATAGTGTGCAGTCAATGGAATGTAGACGATGCACGAACATGTTCACTGCCGTTGTCTCTCATGTAGGGGATTTAGTATTAAAACCTATTTAAAACCTATTCAGTGCGATAGTTCACACGGAATATGTATACAATTTACATGTCTGTATTACATATATTACCGTTCTTATAAATACTACAGATTTGGTAGATAGCCTGGAAAGGAGTGTTTGTGTGTTTGCATCCGTGCGTATATATTTATATAGATGTACTTTTATACTTTCAGCTATAATTTGTGCATCAATTCATCTACCCCGCAGTATGTGTATTTGCATTTACTTATGTACACATATCCAGCAGCAAGTGGCATCACATGCACTCTTCTTTTTGTCGCTGTCCCCCTCTCTGCCTCTTAGGAGAAGGTCCTGGGCCACAGTAGGGAGGAATGTGCAGAAGAGCTCGTCATAAGTCTTTCTGGAGCCCCAGGTGTAGTTGCTGCAAGAGGCGATATAAGAGAGAAGAGGAAAATGAAAGAGAAAAATCTGAACAAACAATAAAGTGGGAATCTGTATATATTTGGAAGCCAAGTCCACCTTAAAGGTCCCCCAGGGGCCCCCAAGGGATCCCTTAAGGTCCTCAAGGGGAGAGGGTTACTCCTTGCTGCTTCCTTATCCTTGAGGGTCCCCCCTTCCTGACGCTGGGGAAGATGCCGCAGCAGCAGGAGCAAACTGCTGCTGCTGCGGCTGCGGCTGCTGCTGCTGGGGCGACTCCCAGCTGCAGCGGTAAGAGCTGTCAGCAGCAGAGGACAGGTTTGACGAGCTGAGACTCCAGGGCGTATCCATGAGCGCTTCCCGCTGCTGCTGTTGTTGCTGTTGCTGCTGCTGCTGCGCGTCTTGTAGCAAGTGCTGCCAAGGACTAGCTCCTGGCGCGGCTTGCTGCCACACGGCCTGCGGGCTGCTGCTGCAGCTACTGAAGCAGCTGCTGCTGCTACTGCTGCTACTGCTGCTACTGCTGCAGCTGCTGCTACTACTACTACTGCTGCTGCTGCTACTGCTGCTGCTGCAGTGCGCAGGCAATTGCCTTGGCCTCTTCACACCCTTGCCTTTGGGGGCGTCAGGCCCCAGAAGACTTCTGTATAGAAACTGCGACAGAGAAAGGGCACCCCATGCGGCAGCATGGGGGCCCCTGGGGATCCCTCCCACCGCCTTTGAGGGTCCCCACGCTTCAGGCTGACTCCCTGCAGGAGGAAACCCGACAGCTCCTGAGGGAGCGAACCTGCTAATGGTGCTGCTGACGCTCATGCTGCTGCTGCTCGTGCTCGTGCTGCTGGAGCGGCTGCGTCTGGGCAAAGGAGCAGCCTTTTCTACTGCTGAGGAGCCCCTTTTGCAGCGGGTCGGGAGGCGCACGACAGTTGTCACGGTGGTTCCACCGGGAGCCCCTGCGGCCCCCCGCAGAGCCCCCAGGGGCCTCTTGAGGCAAACGAAGGGTTTGGGCTTCAACAAGGAAAACATGCAACGGGGAAGCAGCCGGCCTTCTGCTTCCTGCAGCAGCAAATGGAAAACATCCTCAATCCTCCCCTGCAGTAGCTGCAGCCCAGAAGACAGACGCACATCGATTTCGTCTGCTGCCGACAGCAGCACAGCAGCAGGAGCCGCTACTGCTGTTGCTGATGCTCCATCATCCTGCGTCTTGCCCCCCTCCCCACGTAGCTCCTGCATAGTTGCCTCGGAAATTTCATGCTGACCATCCCGCCGCTGCTGCAGCAGCAAGATACTTTCTGCTGCTCCTCGCAGCTGCTGCATGTAGCAGCACAGTTCAGCTGTACGCTGGGGGCAGGAAGCTGCTTGCCGCAACAGCATTAGCATCTCTTCCAGGAAGCCTTCGGGCTCTTCCCCAGCAGTGCCACTTGCTGTTGTTGGTGGCTCTACGGCTCCTCCTGCAGTCGCCGCTGCAGCAGCAGCAAGAGAGGACGGGGAGCTTGTCTTCACCGCAGTGTCCACTGCGTCTCCCTTTGCTAAAGCAGCAAGTCCGGAGGCTGCTACAGCGCTGCTGTTAGCAGCATCAACTGCAGCTCCCGCTGCTGCTTCCTCAGCAGGACCAGCAGGCGGCTCTGCCGCTGGCGCGATCGCTGCTGCAGAAATGCTAGCAGCAGAAGCGAATGGTCCGTTAGCCGCTTCCTCTGCTGTTCGAGGCCCCTGATAGGTGTCCAGATGCTGCTGCTTCTGTTGCTGCTGTGGTTGCTGTCTGCTTTGCTGCTCGTGTTCAAGGCCCTTAAGGAGGATGGGGAGGGTTTTAATCAAGGGATAGGGGCACCCTGGGCTGCGCATGCACTGGCGACGTGCACTCAGGGGACCTCTCCTTTCTGCTGTTGCTGCTGCTTGTGCTCTCCCTGCTGCCTCTCCAGCGGGGTTGGTCCCGTCTCCGTTGCAGTCTAGAACAGCTGAAGAACCTGTTGTTGCTGCTGTTGATGCTGCCGGTTTTGCGGCTGAGCAAGAAGCAGCAAGAGTGTTTTGTAGACACCTTAAGGCTTCTGCAATAGCTGCGCCATCACCAGCAAGATGCGCAGCAATACGTCGCGTGACTCTCCCCACAATTTCTTCGGCTGAGGAACCTGCTGCTGCTGCTGCTTCCGCCAATGTTGCTTCTGCATCCGCACTTTCAGGCGCCCCGCTGCCGTTCCCCTCCCCTTTGCTACTGCGCTGGTGTGCCTCGTGCTCATGCTTTTCCTGCCGCCGCTGTAAAATACCCCTACGCATAGCCGCAGGGTGCAGGTGAGTATCTGGCCAGAAGGGTGCTGCTTCTGTGACCGTTGCTGCTGCTGCTGCACATCTGTTGCAGTCGTCGGCGAAGGCTTTTGATGCGGCCTCAGCCTGCCGCAACAGCTGTTCCCAGTCCTCTTCTACAGCACTTGAATCTGCTGGTGCTGCTGGTGCGAGTGTTATATCTGCATTGGCACCTGCTGTTGCTGCTGCTTCGGGACCGTGAGCTGCAATCGTCAGGCCAAGCCTGCGGATTGCAACCTCCACCATCTGCACTGATTCTTCCGCTCCTTCAAAAACAAAAGCTGCACTATCGTGCAGTGCAGCAGCGGGGGCGCCTTCGGAGGGGCCCTGAAGGGCCCCCCCAACTCCGCCAATGCACCGTTTGCTGCTGCAGATGCGTCCCCATGACAGGTGCTGAGGTGCATAGGCAGGTGCAACAGCAACTCGAGCAGACACATGCAGCAAAGCTTCCCTAGCTGCGGCGAATTCAGTCTCGGCTGCCCCCTGGGGCCCCTCTGGTGGACCCCCGAGGCATTCCAGCTGTTCATGCTGACGAGCATCAAGCGGAGGCTGAATACCACCAGAAATAGCACAATTAACACCAAACTCCTCTCCGCGTAACAAGACGCTGCTGCTGCTCTTGCTGTTGCTGCTGCTTGCACGGGCGCAGGTGTCACAACGGCCGCGGCCCCAAGGCGCGCTGCAGAACTTGCCGTTTGGCAATCCAATGTCATCCACAGGAGCAGATGCTGCTGATGCTGCCATTCCTGTTGCTACTGCTGTTTCTGTTGTTGGCGTGGCTGACGTGGCAGAAGCAGCGGCAGGAGCAGAGGCAGCAGTGGCTGTAAGCACGGCAGCAGTTGCAGCTGATGCAACATCTGCAACAGGCGCAGGCGAAGCATCACCTCTAACAGCGGCAAGTACTGCATCCACAGAAATACGGGGTGCAACACAAACGTGGGCAGCAGCAGCAGCATGTGCGCCGCCAGCAGCAGGTACAGCACCAGCAACTGGGGCTGCATTACCTATTGGCGCTCCAGCAGCTCGCATAGTAGAACCTTTCTCTACAGCTAAATGCGTTGTCTGTTGTGGCTGCTGTTGAATCTGTGGCAGCTGGTGCTGTACTCGATGCTGGTGAATCTGTTGTTGCTGCTTCGGCTGCATCTGCTGCTGCTGTTGCTGCTTCATCTGCTGCTGCACGTGCATGGGCTGCTGCGGTTTCTTCGTTGCTGCACGCTCTTGCCTCTGCTGCAGCTGCCGTGCTGGCCGTTGCAGTTGTTGCTGTTGCGCTTGTTGTTGCTGCTCCAGTTGCTGCTGCTGCGCTGCCCGGAGTAGTTTCAGTTGGTGCTGCTGCTGCTGCAGGTGCTGTAGTTGTTGCTGTTGCTGCTGCTGCTGAAGCAGTTGTATTTGAGTCTGCAGTAGCTGCAGTTGCTGGTGTTGCTTCTGTCGCAGCTGTTGCTGCTGTTGCAGTTGCTGCTGCAGCTGTTGTTGCTGCGGTAGCTGTTGTTGCTGCTGCTGCAGCAGCAGTTGCTGCATGAGCTGCTGCTGCTGCTGCTGCAGCTGTGTTCCATGCTGCAGCGGCAAAGAGGTCGCGAATTGCTGCAAGGCGGCGAGTCGCGGGGCTCCTCCAAGAGGGGGCGCTGAGGGAACACCTGGGGCCCGCATTTGCTGCTTGGCAGCAGCAGCGGCAGCAGCAGCAGCAGCAGGTGAGGCCCAAGGTGAGAAGAGAGCAGTAAGAGGCTCCGTATGAGTTTTGCTGGAAACAGCTGAAGAAGAATTGAGGGGGGCTCCGAGGGACCCTAATGGTACTCCTGTTGATGCAGCTTCGGGTGCTGTTGGTGTTGCTGTTGTTGTTGCTGCTGCCGCTGTTGTTGTTGGTCTTGATGAGGTGGACTGCGTCTGCACGCCACGTGTGAGGGGCCCTGGGGTCCCAGCACCCCCCAGAAGCTTGGCGTCTCGCAGCCCCAAAGGAACTTCAAGCGAGGCCCCTAAGGGGACCCCTAAGGGGGCCCCCAGGGAGGTTCCCAGGGGGGCTCCTACGGGGGAGCTGAAGCAATCATCTACGGATGCTACTGGGGGCCCCGCTGATTCTGTAGAAGGCACCAAACCACGGCTGAGGCAGCGCATCAGCTGCTCAACTCTACCTAAATCGGAGTCATTGGCTGCTGCTGCGGCTGTTGCTGGTGCTGCTGTTGATGCTGGTGCTCGTGCTGGTGCTGCAGTTTGCAGTTGCGAAGGCACTCCTACTGATACGCATTTTGCTGCTTGTGCTGCTGCTGCTGTGTCTGCAGCTGGCGGACACGTGAATCCTGTACGGGGCGAATCGGCAGTAGCAGCAGCAGCAGCAAGAGGAGGCCCCTGTATATTCGCCACGCATTGTCTAGCGGGGGCTTGCGGGGGACCGCCAGGCACCTGAGATACTCGCAAGTGTTCTGCTGCAACCGGAGCCCCCAAGAAGGTAGGGAATACTACTGATGCATTCTCAAGTTGGGGACTTCCCCGGCAGAAGGCTGTTGCAGTTAGGCTCCCCCCGCCTATGAGGGGAGCTAGCCCGGGTGGGCTCTTGAAATGGAGCGCAGCATCTGGTGGGGCCCCGCCAAGAGGAGGCAGCAGCCCCAGAAAACCACCAAGGGGCCCAGGAGAAGCAGCTGCTCCCGTCTGAGCGGCAACAGAGGAGGGGCCCCTGCTCCCTGGGGGCAGAGGGCCCCTTGGCCTGGCCTGTTGCAGACCCGCCCGTTCTGCCGCGGCGGACTGCAGCGCAGCGGAGGCAACCGAGAGTCGCGCAGCAGCAGCGGCAACTTGTGCAGACACGCCTGCAGCAGATGGCAGGAGTAGGCCTTGCGGGCCCCTAGGGGAGCTAGAGACGATAGGGGGGGGCCCCTGCGGCTGCTGCGGTAAGAATCCCAAAGAAGCAGGGGGAGGGGGGCCCTCCATGAGTGCCTAGGTTGACGGGGGGCGAGCCCCCGCAGGGGCAGCCTGAGAAGGCCCAGGGGGCCCCTACGCCCCCGTGCAGAGGTGTGGCAGCAGGGGGGCCCCCCAGCATCTGAAGCACTGAAGAGGCCCCTGAAAAGCTTAAAGAAGCAGAAGGGGCAGCAGAACCCCTGCGGAGACGAGAAAAATAGAACAAAAAGCAAGAGAGAAAGACAGGATTACATATATGCAACTTTCAAGCCATGCAAACACAACACAACACACACTGCCGAGCTGTACGAACACACCCAACCAACACACCCACCCCTACACCGTTGCTTTGATCTCTTCCAAAGAAATAAATTCCAAAAACTTGACGCGAAAAAGTACATTCGAACACTCCTTGCTGCTTTGCGGAAGGGGGCCCTGCGGTGTACATGCAACGGCAGTAGCAGCAGCTGCTGCTGCAGCCAGCTGCCGCAAGCGCATCGTGCTGCTGCGCAGTGCTCCCTTCTTTCTTACAACACAAAGGAACCAGCCATTTTAAGAATTTGGACGTTTAAGTATGTGTTATTATTTTTGTTTTAGACTTGTTTAAGTAAGTTTGGGGGGTTTTCAATTTACACACCGAAAACCAAAAAGGAGGGCCGTCACCCCGTTGCCTGACCTGCAGCTGCCACCATCCACACTAGCAGCAGACACTCCTTCTGTGTCTCGGGTTAGAAACCAGGTATATCAATGCGTTACAGGCTTCGTAACAGCATAGAGAACAAACTTTTAGGGCCATGCCACTTACAAATGCTGGAAATAAGGGCAGAGGCCTGCTGTTCGTACCGACCCCCCTTCCCCTTTCGCCTAGGGGCCCCGAAGCATATAAATATGAACATGAATGTGTAACATGGGGGAATAATCAGGGAACTGCAACAACAACTAAACTTGTAACAAGCGGTTTTAGGGGTCGAACACACTTTAGGTTGGAGCATAGGCAAGTAGCCCCAAGGAGACAGAGCCCTGATAGGGACGATTAAAAGTGCAGGCGTACGATGATCACCAGTTCAGTATTTTTCGGAAGTCCACTTGTTGATGCAGTCAAGCATGGGGGAGTAGTTTATTTCTCGGCCACCAAAGACAGCAGGGCGTTTTCTGCTGTGGTTTGTGGTTTTGTGGTCTCATCCAAATCTTACACGCCATTCCACTGTTCCGTAGTTTATCGTGTATAAGGAGGAAAACAAGAGGAGCACATCACACCTTCATTTTGCCATGGATCTAGAATCCCGATGGTAGGGGAGCTAGCTGCTTGCCCCCTCTGCTGCAGCTGGTGGCACACCTCAATGCTGCCACTTTTGCTGCTACTGTCCCTGCAGTATCCGTCAATCTTGCCGTTGCAGGTAAATATATGCATATACACGTGAGGAGGCATAGTTCAAAATCTTACTGCTGTATACAATACGTGCAATGCAGATACATGAGACCCTTCTCCCTAGACCACGGAAGACATACCACGGAAGCACACATGCATAGAAACATATATATTATATCTAGGGGCGTGCATGTACGCATATGTGGATATTCGTTCCTTTACATGAATTTACAATATGGCCATAGGCGTGGTTGTGTTATGTACTGATGTAGGACAGCTATGACTGGCTACGTATTAAATTTTGAGCACGGATGCAGGTTTGTTTAAAGCATGCATTCATTCACCTCCTTTTTTTGGGAAAGATGTGTACTTTTTTTGGCAGGTCTATTATTCATTCAGTGTAAGTAAACAAAATATACTTTTATTGCGTCTATTGCCTTTATTTTCAGACCGCAACAATTGCTACGGTCATAAAACATGACAGACTGTCATGTTTTATGACCGTAGCACTATCTCTGTATTGCAGCGGTACTCTTATTATGATTTCGATTACTATTGTTGCTATTCTTATTACTATTCTCACTATTTCCACTACAGCTCTTATGGAGGTGCTATTTTTGTTCGTTCCGTTTTTGCTAATATTCTAGTGTGCAATTATTATTATTCGGTTGTATTTCTGGCAGTGGTTACATTCCTGTCTTTCCCGTTGGACTTGTAGTATCTTATATTGCCCATTCTACAGAGCAGAGCATAGTTATAGTGCTATTATCCCCATTAATATTGGCACTACCATTAGTAGTATCAATGCCATTAATACTAGTGTTGCGCCATTCCATATAAGAACAACGGGGACGTTTATGATAAAAATGATGCAATAATACTGGGCAGCAGCCCTCCTTTGTGTGTGCATAGTGTTCTTCCCTTATTAAAGGGACTATCGCAATATTATTGTATTGCTGTTATCATTATTTAATTACTACTCTGTTGCTGCTCTTACCCTTTCTGTTTCTATCTTCCTTGCGGTTTTTCCGTTTTCCGTGAGATCCCCTCACTGCTCGTAGCCATGAAACGTGCAGCATGGAGAATTGAAGCATTTCCTACGCAGTTTTTCAATTATATTTTATTTGTCTATTAATATCCGTTTTCGTTGTAGTTGCAATTATGTTTATGGCTACCATTCGAACTGCTCTCATTGCTGTTGCATTCGAAAGAATTATTAGCTATCGTTGCAACAAACCTGATTTATGCAATACCTATTGTTGCTGTTTCCGTGTTCTGCTCCTGTCGCTCACAGTATTCAACAGTTGCATGTCGTTATTGTTTAGGTTTGAGGGGTCCGTGGATTATTCATATTATTCCTTTCGGGGGGAATCAAAACCGTTATACCAGGAAGCCCACGAGGCTCGTCTGTGGCACCTGTGCCTAAAACAACTACCTCCACGAGCCGCTGCCCGCCAGCATAAAGCCATAAAAGCTAATCATGAAACTTTGGAGACCCATAAATGGCCTTGATTAGCTTAGGTTTTGAATTTTATGTTTAACTGTGGAGTTAACACACTGTGCAGTTGTGCCTTCAATTAGGTGTTGCCCCCCCGACATGGGGACGACAGTAACCGCAAGAGAGTGATGTGTAAGTACACCACACATGCACAGTACTCAGTACTTGAAACATGAGGCAAACGTGATTTAAACAAGTGCCTCTGCACGAGAATACGAATGACCGGAGTGTCGATACATCGGCTGAGGGGGCTGCTGGGTGTGGCACGCTTGTCCGGTGAACAATGTAATTGAAATGCAGTGTCAAAAAGGAAATAAGTATATATCTCAACAGATAATATAAAGGGGCTTCTAAAATGGCTATTGGATTGGAACAGCCTACTCAAAAGAACTGTGCTGCATCCAGCGAGCAGCGGGCAGGGCGCTGCTGTGCGCGTGTGCATTTTGTGTGTGGTGTCTGTGGGCTCCTGTATTTACCTTCATTGAAATAACTACCATAGGGCTATAAGGAATGTATCTGATTATATTTACAGAATTCGCTTGATAGACATCACATAGAAAGAGACGAGACAAGGCGACAGCGCTGCGTCGCAGCGCCACGCCGCGCAGCTGTAGTCACCTGCGGCCCGAATGGGGTGTACATGCACGCTTTCCCCCGTCTCCTGCTGGATATTGTGCATGCGAGCACGAAATTAGGTGAAACAAAAACAGAGGAGGGGTAGACAGAACATACTTCTTAACTGGTAAGTTTTTTTGAGGCATCTCTGTGTTTGCTATAGGATTCGGTTGCTGCTGGTTGCCGTTCCGCTGTTCCTCAAGATGAAGCATTTGTTCAACACCCTGGTGGGAGTGGTTGTCCTTGCAGTAGCTGCTGCAGCTAATGAGGAGGTGGCGCAGGATGCAACTTCTCAGCTCGCTGTGGAGATCAGCCCTGAGGAGCTGGTGGCAATCCAACAAGATGCTAACTCTGAGCCCCGACTTTTCTTTCCCCTGGGGGGTCTGGTGTCTGCAAAGTTGGCGATGCTGAAGGGTCTACAGTCTCCCTTCGCAGCTCCTGCTGCTCCTAAAAACGTGCACATTCACCACACAGCCTACGTACAGCCTCCCCCGCCACAGCACCACCACCACCACAGCGAACACCACCACCATAACGAACACCACCACCACCACCCCCATCACCACCACCACCACCCCCATCACCACCACCATCACCCTGACCACCACCACCACCACCATCACCCTGACCACCACCACCACCACCACCACCCTGACCACCACCACCACCACCACCACCCAGACCATCACTACCACCACCACCACCCAGACCACCACCACCATCACCACCATCCCCACGGTTACTACCCCCCTCCTCCACCCCCTCACCATCACTACCACCACCACCCCCATTCTGGACACCATCACTACTACCGCGAAGACGCCTCTCAGCAGCAGGAGCAGCAACAGGAGCAGCAGGAACAGGAACAGCAACCAATCGAGAACTAAAGGAGCAACAACAAAAAGCGGGAGAGACACACGATTGCTCAGGTAGCAGCAGCAAAACCGATAAAAGTCGGCCTGCCACCACCGCCACTCATGGTGTTCATATTTAATTCCTTCTCTCGTTTCAGGCAGCACCTTGAAGCTCGTCTCTACTCTGCTGATAAAGCACAAGAGCCTCAATCAGTCACGCCACCGCAGGTCCTTCTCCCCTTGGGTAGACCCCAGGAGGTTTGAAAGGTTTACGCAGCAGCTGCAGCAGCAGCTGCTGCAGCACCAGCTCCAGCAGCACAGGCTACATTGGCAGCTGCTGTTTCTGCTGTACAACAGCCGCATCCGCTCCGGCGGCGGCAGGTCCACCCTGTGTGGGCTCTGGTATTTCTCCAAACCGCTTTTTTTCCTCATTCTCGTGCACAAAGCCGTAACCCCTAGGATGGTAGGCATAAAATTGTAGGCATGACAGAGAGTGGGCCGGCGTCAGCATGATGCGTGAAAGCTTGTCTACAGTAGATTAGGGCATCTGCATATTAACATATAAACGGGGCAGTGATGCACACGTTATGCAAAGGAGCGTGCATTCTGTTGTTCGTTAGACTGGTCTTCTTTGGTTTATTGATAGCAGCTGCAGCCCGTTCTGCCTGGTCGACACTGCCCCATAAGGGAACGGAACTGAGGGAGGGATGCAGAGTTAAACTGACTTAACATGCCGCGGTAGTTGCGGCTATTTTATGCGCTAGGAGAGGCGACAGGCGTCGCACGTACCGGTGTCCGAAGACATTTTACAACTGTTCGCGGAATGTCTGCTGTTCATAGAAAGCAATGGGAGCAATGCCAGCTAGGCAGGGGTGCATGCCAAATATAACACGGGGAGGGGCTAGTCACTAAGCCCTACATTCCTAGTTCTAAACAAAATTGGAGGTACAGAAGCAATAAGGGGGAGTTCTGGGGGTTATCAAAACCATCTGTTGCTTCAACAGCTGCTTCTGCTGCAGTTGTTGCTGCCGCTGCTGCATTTCTACTATGTCTAGAGTTCACTTGGGAGCATCGCTGTCGCTTCCTTCTGGTGCTGCTGCTGCTGTTTTTCTGGTCCTTTTTCTGGAAGATATGGTGGACGACGAGGGGAGATAATGCTTTTGCTGCTGCTGCTGCTGCCTCTCAGCCAACGCATGCCTCTCTACCCCTGACGTGCCGTCGACAAGTCGAGTTCTGTTCAACCAAGAGCATCAACAAGAACAAGCAAAAGAATCTACACACTCTGTGAACCTAACCGACAAAGAAACCGTGCAGAGAAGAAGACAGGTGAATGCTGGCACGATAATCGGTGGTCGTTGCAGTATACAGAGAAATTAAACATAGAGCATACAAATAAGGAAATAAATTAAACGATTAATATACATCAACGGTTCCACTTGATAGACGGACAATCAATTTTCGGTTGCCTTTACTGTTGCCTCCACTTTCTTCCTTTTCTTTCAATTGGTCCAACGACAACAGAAGAAAGCCAACAAGTGAACAAGACTAAAAGAATAAACCAATACATATATGAAAGCATAAATGAAACGGAACACATCTGAGTGAATAAGCCGGACCACGAAGGCAAATAATTTGTCAGAAGTGAACAATGACAGCTAGTATATCGAACTAAACGATTAAAGACACAAAGCACATTACCTGAACAAAACATCAGCATTGGAGAACATTCCTTCTTTTAAGGAGACGATAATAAACTGCGATGAAGGAAACTGCGTTTTAATCATGCTACCTGTCACAGCAGTCACCCAAGATTCCATCAAATATATTGAACTCTTTAGGTGTATCTACAGCTAGAAGCCAATTCAATGCACCAATTAACGCAGCCAACCCGTGCAGCAGCAGCAACAGGAGCCGCCTTTTCCCCCATGGAAACTTTGTGTGCTGCTCCGGCGTTTCGGACTAGCACGCCTACTGCTGCCATTATTGGGTGCTGCTTCCGCTGTTGCTGCTGCTGTGTCATTGTGTGTGTTCGTTTGGTGCAGCATCTGGTATTTATGGGTAGCTGTACCGATATTTTGGGTGTGGGAAAGATCCAGCGCTGCATCGACTTCGTCGAGAATGTACACTGGAGCAGGTTTAAATTTGAGCAGAGCCAAAATCAGGGAAAGAGCCAAAAGTGAACGCTGACCGCCAGACAGCTCCGAAAGCGATTCCTTCCACTTGTGGTGAAACGCAATCTGCAAAACCAGGCAGCTCCACAATAGTAGTGTACTAATAAGAACAAAAGTAACCGCGAAAACGGCAAAACGAAGTAACATAGACTACTCTGAAAAGCTAATCCTTCCACATGTGTTGAAATGTAGTGTACAAACAACCTCTAGTAGTTCAACGAATACTTGCAGCAATATTAATGACACCAACAATAGCAAAACATTATGGTAATGCCAATAACAACGATAATAATACTAACGATAATAGTGAACAAAAACACAAAAAAAATGTACAATGAAACTTTAACATTAATAATGATGATAGTAATGTTGTTGCCAAGTGTTTATTAACAGGGTATCATTATTATTGTCGTAATAACAATAAATTAATATTTTTGTAAGCCTTACAATAGCGATACATACTGTTCGTAATGATGATCAGGAAGAATGGATAGAAACGAACAGTATATGGAAGAAAGGCATCATAGAAACAGGTACTTTCAAATTCCAGAAGAAGCAAACCCACAACCAGAACAAATCAAACGAGCCCTTCTAAAAAGGACCAGGACAGGGAAATGTTTTGGCGTTTACACACTAAGCAACAACACAACAGCTTCGGAATTACCTTCATTTCCAGACCCTTCATTAAATCCTTTTCGTCCGCTTGCACAAGTTTAGCCTGTGCGTTAGGGAGCAGCTGCTCGAAGATGGCTGAAAAGTTCGCATCAACAAGCCGCCAAGTGTTCTTCAGTGAGTTTTGTTTTTTCTCATCAAGAGAAACGATCACCTCCCGGATCTTCTCCTGCAGATGCGTGAGGCCACAACACAAGCCAAGGCGAATAACCAATATGAGTGTAAAATGGAAGAAACAACAACACTGCGACAAACAAAAAAAGGTGAACAGTAACAGCAAAGAAACACAAACACTGCAAACAACAAAGCAGAAACGCAACCCCAACGACAAGAAAGGCAGAAGAACACACCCAGAAAGAGCAGTGCTCCAGCAGCAAGAAACACAATACCAGCAACGGTGCAGCAACGAAAGAAGGACCAGCATAGCAGGCGGCAAACGCAAAGCAGACAGCAGGCGAAGAACAATCAGTATAGAAGCGCAGAAGAAAGATTGCAGCAGGCGAGCCCAAAACACTGTTGCACCAAGGACAACACGACCGCCGGCGCAGCCTGCGTGCGCCAGAATCTCCTGCAAATCACATCTGAGTGGCTGCCACTTGACGAACTGTAATGGAGAAAGAAATGATGTAAAATACTATCAGCAAAAGTACCCTATCTGCTTCCACCTGCGCCTTGCGCTTTAGGAGAGTTTGCAGTTCGGCCTCCGTCTTTTCAAGCAAAGCAGCAGCGGAACTGTTGATATTCTTTTTCAGCTTTTCCGTGTCTGTCCTCAGCTGCTGAATCCGCTGGCGAACCGCTGAAGCGACACACAGGAAGCAGCCAAGCAGCAAAGTTCAAGCTGAAGCGGATTAGAAGGGTAAAAGGCGATAATAGGCTCTTGAAGCAGCTCCAGGGAAATGAGCAAACGAGAAACAAATAAAACCACAAGCAACAGAGAGCACCAGATTCCACTCTGTAGCAGCCTAAAAGCAGTAACGCAGCAGCATCTACAATGATAAGAGCTAACTTTCAGGACGGAGTTGCTTGAAGTCGTATGGAGTTCCACTTTCGTTGAACTTGGGCTCCTCTGCTAACAGCCATTCGTGCGCTGACAGCAGCTGCTTCACTTCCTGCAGCAGAAGCGGCAGAAGCAAATGAGAGAAAAAGCTCTAAAGGGAACCATCAGCAACTTTGTGCCCCTTACGAAGTGCACGCAACGATGTTAATACATCATACATATAATATACGCATATAATAACACTACTTATACACTATATATATATATATATATATATATA